ACGACGACACGACGTACAGCCAAGAAACCCACTCAAGACTCAGAAGCACTAAAACTCCAACAAGCACAAAAACTCGCGAAAATTGGGGAATTGAGCCACGCGGCGCGTGTGCTGTCGTCCTCGGGCTTGGCACCCGGAAACGACGCAACGCTTGGTGAACTCAAAAACCCACAACTACGACCATAAATTCCGACAATACCTTTCCCGGATGGCTTCCGAGATTTCCAACCATCATCGCCACTCACTTTGGACAGAGACTTGTTCGGAGACGTCCTCCGGCAGACGCGGCGCGGATTATCAGCAGGACTCTGGGGAGCACGATACGAACACTACAAAATCTGTCTTGAAGACGATGCTGCTTTCGAGGCCCTTTGTGACGTAGCGGAACGGCTGGCTCAAGCACAAATTCCGAATATTATCCGTGATGCTCTACACTTGTCGCCCCTCACAGCTCTCACCAAACCCAACAATCGGGTCAGGGGAATCTCAGCTGGAGATACATTTCGCCGATTGGTGGCGAAGACGCTTGCAAGACAATACGGCCAGAGTCTTCAAGCTGCTGTTTGGCCGCTAAATTTCGGACTATGCAATGCCAGCGGCACGGACGCAGCTGTTCGCTACCTGCGGTATTTTGCGGAGGCTTACCCACGCAAGGTTATTATGAGCATCGATGGGGTCGGAGCGTTCGATCATGTCAGTAGAGCCCGGATGTTCGAACAACTAATGGGCGACCAATCGTTGCATGGCTTGTTACCCTTCGTCAGACAATGGTACGGCATCCAATCTCAATTTCTGTGGCGGGATGACAATGGACATGCGCGCACTATTTTGCAAGGAGACGGAGGGGGACAAGGGGATGCACTCATGCCAGCATTATTCTGTCTGGCATTGCATGCTGCATTATGCCGGATTCGCGATCATCTCCCACCAGGGGCAGAGATCTTTGCATATTTGGACGACATTTATGTGGTGTGCGACCCAGACGAGATTACACCTATACTCCATGATGTCAAGGAGGAGTTGTTGCGAACATGTTGTATTGATGTCAACGTGGGGAAGCTGGCAGTGTGGGGGCACACGGCCAGTGCATGTCCAGAAGCGCTTGCTGCTGAGGCTCCAGACGCTTGGCGGTCCGACAAACCACTGGAAGAGAGGGGCATTCGCGTGCTAGGAGCCCCATTTGGTAGCCCTGAATACATCACTAGCTTTGGTGCTAAGCTAACTGCAGAACGGACGAAGCTGCTTACCTACATTACGAAGCTCTCCGATCTGCAAGTGGCTTGGTTACTATTGTACTATTGTGCTGTGCCCAGGCTCAACCATATCTTACGTACCACACCACCCGAGTTGGTCCGCCCACTGGCAGAAACCCACGACGCAGATATCTTAACGACATTCCGGTCCATATTCGCTATTCCATCAGAAATGGCATGGGACGTGAGGTTACATGGGATACGTTACCACACTATGGTATTACAAACAACTCTGCCTTTGAGGCTGGCCGGGATGGGGCTACGGAGCGCAGTCCGCACGAGCGCGGCGGCGTACTGGGGAAGCTGGGCAGACGTGATGCCGGAATTTATCCAAAGATTTCCGGAAATGGGGAATCAAATACTGCATCGACTTACTATGCTCCACGCCACGGCACCTGATGAGACAATGGTGGGCCCGCTGTGTCTACGAAGTGCTGAACACGGAGGCCGGCTAAGTGAAGCTTCGGGGTGGAAGGATCGCCCTACGTGGGCTGCCTTAGCCTCGGGAGCACGTCCGCCCGAAATCCAATCTAACGAAGTGTCCCTCGGAGAACATCGACACGGATGGCAATGCCATGCGTCTGCACCGCTCGAACGTGCAGCTCATGCAAAACTACAGCAAGACTTGGCACCTGCGGGGGCGCGGCGGAATGCTGTATCCACTGGAAAGGCCCGTTTACATTCGTGCATGGGTGCGTTTGCGTTGATTTGGCTCCTCGTATGTCCAACTACACAGGGGCTAACTATTGCAAACGATCTGCTACAATGCGCTGTGCGACGACGGCTGGGCGTGGCATGTATGATCGATGGGCCAGATCCGCACGGGCATGCTCGGCTGGCAGTTGCGACGGAAGGACGCACATTTTCACGACATAAAGAAATGATAGCGGCATGGCGGCAGATATTCCAGGAAGCGGGAGGGAGCGTTCCAGATAGGAATGTCGAGCGGCTACTCGTGCGCACTAACATCCCAGTACCTCCCGAAGACCTTCGGCGGCTTGATTTGGTCATTCCAGGGCTGAATGTTCATCGGGGGCTCCCGCTATTTGGTGATGCGACGATCGTCAGCCCTATTTCACGGAATGGGCAACCCAGATCTGGGACGAGCAATCGCGGGGGAGCATTACTAGAGCGAGCAGAGCGCAGAAACAATGAAGATTACCACGAAGTATGGGAAAGTGGTTTGGGATCATTACTATGCCTGGGCTCGGAAGTCTTTGGCCGATGGGGGGCCCAAAGCATGCAGATTGTACCACAACTTGCTCGTGAGCGCTCCCGGGGCTTGCATGGGAGGGTCCGCCAGGGCACGACCTACAGTCTTTTACACCGTTGGTGGGACCTTCTGGGGATCAGCCTGCAGTCGGCCGTAGCTCGGGCGGTTTTGCGGGACGTGGCGGACCTGCCAGAAGTGCGGCTCGAGCCCGCACCACCACTGGCAGACCTAGAGGTCGTGTGAACCTCCTCCTCCTCCTCCTCCTCCTCCTCCTCTTCCTCCTTTGACGCTGCTCAGCCGGCGCGCCGGGCCCATCGCTGAAAGCGATCGTGCCTTGTTTCACTCCCTTGCGCTGCGCTGCACTGGCGGACTGACTCTGCGGAGGGGAGAGAGAGAAGAGTTCATTTGCCGTGAAAAAAATGGGGAGGGAGTGGAGGGAGCGGAGGGAGGCGGGGAGGGGGATTGCAGTGGAATGGAGTACAATCGATTGCAAGCGATTCGATTGGGATTTTCGATCGTCGATCGTTGATCGTCGATCGTCCATCCTCGATCATGGATTGTTCATTTTGGATCGTCGGCGAAAGGGAGGGCGGAGGCTCCGGGGGCTGGGCGGCCAAAGGGGGGAAGGGGGGCAGGGGGGGCTTCCAAGCCCCCCCCCCCCTTGGCACAAAGGGGGGCAGGGGGAGGGAGCTTCCAGCAGGGCGGCTCCACGGGAGGGGGGGGTAGCTTAAGCCCCCCCCTCCCTTTGGAAAGGGGGGTAGGGGGGGGTTGGGGGGGGGGTAGCTTCCAAGCACCCCCCCCCTTTGCACGAACGGGGGGGGAGGGGGGGGGTAGATTCCAGCAGGGCGGCGCCAAGGGAGGGGGGGGTAGCTTAAGCACCCCTCCCCCCTTGGAAAGGGGGGGAGGGGGGGGGCGAGCTTCCGGGGAGTGCCCAAGGGGGGAGGGGGGGGGTAGCTGTAAGCCCCCCCTCCCCTTGCAAAACAAAGAGGGGGAGGGGGGGGGTGTTTCCAACAAGGGCGGCTCAAGGGAGGGGGGGGGTAGCTTAAGCCTAGCCCCCCTCCTCTTTGCTCGGGCCCTGTGGGCGCGCTCTCTCATATATTTTGTGTTGCTGCGATTGCGGTATGCAACGAAGGTGAGAGCAGGATCGGTGATTCCATTCTTTCCCTCGCCATGAATTGCGTTCCGTACATGTGTTTTCGGAGGGATTTGAGAGGCTGTTTCGGCTACCGCGTAGGGTTTGGCCATCCCTCCGTGTAGCAAGCCGCAGTAGCAGGATGCACATATGCAGACATAAACCATTTACCATTGCCATTTGAACTCGCGGGGCCTTTTTTCGAATGACCGAAAGGGTTGACATCACCGTCCCCAGGGCGCAGAGCGACCCCGAAAGAGAGTGCCGAGGAGAAGACAGCCATGTTTAGGATTGCAACCCGAGTACGACCGAGGATAGAAAAGGCTTCGTCCGTTTGACAGGACGAGAAGACAGATGTGGAGGATGAAAGAGCACGAATGATGAGGAGGAGTAGGAACACGCATGGTGATGGAGATTTAGGTGGTGATGGTTTTGATGACGATGGTGGGCGTTGTGATGCTTCTGCTGTTGTTGTTCCTGATGATGGTGATCCTGTTGCTGCTAATGATGAAATAAGGTGACGATGATGCTACTGGTGATGACGGGCTGGTGCTCATGATGATGACGATTGTGAGCGTGATTGTGGTTATGATTGTGGTTATGATGGCATTGATTGCGATGGTGGTGTTGATGGTGTTGCTGATGATGTTGGAGAAGCCCGTGCGAAGGTGTGGGCGGCACTGGTGCGGGGGAGGTTGATGACAATGATGATGCTGCTGTTGCTGGTGATGCTGGCGGTGGTGATGGTGATGTTGGTGCTGACGTTGCTGGTCAAGAGGATGATGATGATGATGACGATGATGATAAAGATGACGATGATGATGGCGATGCTGATGTCGATCACGGCGAGCTCGGACCAGGATTATGATGACGACGGCGATGCGACTGGTGCTGGCGATGCTGGTGTTGTTGGTGGTGACGGCGTTTCACTATCATGTTAAGAAGGATGGGGCCGAGGCGTTGGCCCTTTGGACCAATAACTTGCATACCAGTGTGAACCCATTGAATTCTGACGGCCCGTCTTGTGGGTGTCGACGCGGCGGCGACCCCGATGTCGGCGTTCACATCTCAGCGCCGCTAGTGGCAATGAGTCGGCCGACATCGAGTCGTTTTCGCTTTCGGCAGGCCGCCATCGATCGTGCTGTTGAGCGAATCCAAGCACTTCCCCCTGTGCCTCTGGGAATGGCTTGCGCGTCCAGCGGTCAGTAGCCAGTTTTTCCTTTCAGCGAGTCGACGGGCGAGCACACATCCATCGAACCCCTGCCCTTCCCCCTGCCCCTTTTTGGAAGGGCCTGCACGATCAGAGGTTGGTGTTCAGTGTTCCCTCAGTGAGTCGACGGGCGAATCCTCCGAATTCCCCTCCTCCCCATGCCGCGTACCGTTTGCCAGCGACATGCGCCAGGAACTCGAGGAGGCCATGCAGGAGCAGCAGGTGCTGAGCGCTCGCGGCGAGGAGGATGAGGCTTAGGAGGGGCCCCAGGTGGCAGGACGGGGAGGATGCTGCTGGAGGAAGGGGAGAACGAGAAACGGACGGGGAACAAAGAGAGGAGGGGAGCGATGAGGGGGAGGAGGATGAGGAGGAGGAGGAGGAGGAGGAGGATAATGTTGGAGATTCAAGCAAAGGTCGGCAACTCTAATTCACCACTGTTTTTTCGCACTCCTGGGGAACGTGCGCAACGCACCGCGAGTTGTACGGCACTAGCGCCACCGCTTGAGACGAGAACACCACAGGCGTCGACTTCAACCAGAACCCTGCGCGGGAATCTGGACCCCGATTGCGGTGACAGCCAGTATGCGCCATTGGGCCGGGTCAAACGCGGTGCGCTTAGGGCTGCGCGATTTACCATTTTGGTCACGGGGGAAGGGTCTCGGGAGGATCCATGTTGCACACTATTCTCCCGGGTTTTCGTGGATGTCGGTGCACAATATGGCTTCGCGGGTCCGACGATTTTCCCATCAGCAGCTCCTGCGATCATATATTGGATGAGCGACGCGATAGCCAGTTGTGTAATCGTGAGGCGGAAGCAGCCGATGTTGATGGTGATGATGATGGTGATGATGATGATGATGATGATGGTGGTGGTGATGCTGCTGCTGCTGATGATGTGCATGATGATGAGGATGACGATGTTGTTGTTGATGATGATGATGCTGATGACGATGCTGATGATGCTGATGATGATGATGATGATGATGATGATGATGATGATGATGACGATGATGATGACGAGGAGGAGGCGGCGGCGGCGAAGCGGTATCGGATCGAGTGCCTCCAGCCAGTGGGACAACACAGCGAAGCAGGCAGAGCAAAGTTCGTGCGATCTACCGTGCGCTATAAAGCTAATGACGTAATGCCCCCTGTAGGGGCCGGGAGCCCCGAGTTGTCCTCGCTGGACCACGGTGCACAGCGAACGGCCCCAGACGAAAGTTTAGAACATGAACAGGACGGGTCAACCCATGGCACCAGCCCAGGGAAAAAGGCCCAGCAACTCAAACTCGAGAAGCGTACGCCACATGGTCATTCAAGTCCGGAGAGGAGTAACGAGGACTAGAAAGGGGAGGACTCAACCGAGGACGCGGAGGAGGAGGAGGGCTGTCAGCGGCGGCGGCAGCACGGGCCTCGAAGCCCGCCGAGACAAGGTTCCCAAGCTCAGGCATGGAAGTGCTTGTCGACAAGGCCGCCGATCTTCGACACTCCCTCAACGAAACACCGGACATCTGTGCTGACGGCTAGGCAATATGCGGTGATGGACTGGCCCTCTGCGGAGTAACCTTCGGTGTCTGAGAAGTGCCGCTGGTAAGGAGGAGAAAGAGGAAGAGGGGAAGCAGGACGAGGACGACGACGACGATGATGATGACGATGATGATGATGATGATGATGATGATGATGATGATGATGATGATGATGATGATGATGATGATGCTGATGATGCTGATGATGACGATGATGATGCTAACGATGATGTCGATGATGACGATGATGGCGATGCTGACGTTGTTGGTGATGGTGATACTGAGGATGAGGAGGAGGAGAAGGAGGAGGAGGAGGTATGCCATAGCAGCGTCAGTTCGCTGTGAGAGAGGGAGAGAGAGAGAGAGAGAGAGTCCTAGGGGGAGGGGGTGCGGAGGATGAGGATACTAGTATATGGCGTCGGAGGGCGGCCACGAACGGAGTGATGTGTGTGTGGGGGGGGGGAGAGAAGGATGCCCTGGAGATCAGAGCAGGAGGGCAGTGTCGAGGAATATGCCACTTGAAAGTTTGACTCGGACATGCTCAGAATTGATCGCGGAATCTAGTAGATGCCAGACGAAGATGCGTATCACACTCAGCACGCACCCGTCTTGAATAACTTTGCCATCGCAATTCGCCGTGTCAATTCGTTTTGTGGCATAACGGGAAACATCACCAGACAGGGATGGATGTCCACAGGAAACTATGCCAAGAAATTGCCAGGATTATTCGCAGTCGCCGTGCTCGCCGTCATCGCCGTCGTTGATACCGTCGCCGCCCTGGTCGCAGTTGTCACTCCTGTCGCCTCTGTTGCCACCAGCGTTCCTGTTGCTGTCCCGATCCGCACGGCGTGAGCGGGCTTCGGCAGTGTCTTAGAATGTTGGTGCCTTCGCGCCCCTCCTGCAGTACGATATAGAGCGCCTGGTCCTGGGTTGTCTTGTTCCTGCTACTGTCTAGAGTCCTTCTGGGCCAGCAAGAACCGCCATCATTGTCGCAGCCGCTATGGTTGCTGGTTAGGGTCTCGCTCTCGCTGCGGCAGCTCATCTCTGTCGACCTTCCTCTTTAACTCCGTGTGCTCCCATCCATCAGACCCTTGGCTCTCCCGCTGCTCTCCCTGTCCTCCTCCCTCTTCATTCTCTTCTTATTGTCTTCCGTTTCTCTCTCGCTCTCTCTCTCTCTCTCCCTCTCTCTCTCTCTCTCTCTCTTCACATATATATATATATATATATATACACTCATACGCACCTCTCCGAGGGAGTAGAGCTCAGAGGCGATTAATGCGTACGCGGGGCGCTGCGTCCGCGATTGGTCTGGCCGTTTCGTTCGGGACATCCTCGAAATTCTGAACATCAGTGGCACCCCTCACGCAGATCGTGACGTCAGGGTCCAAAAACACATGGGAACTTCAACATTTGAACATATAACCTTCAAAAGCACGTGGTACTTTCAAGAATGTTGACACCGATTTTCAGAGAATGGCGGTTTTGCCTGAAACATTCTCCAAACATCGAGCCCCGACGTACCCTCAGGTACCCCAGACCCCGCCTGGGAGCCTCCTGGGGGCCTCCTGGAACCTCCTGGGGCCTCCTGGGGCTGTCTGAACCTTCTGGTACTCCGGACCCCGCCTCGGAGCCTCCCGGGGGTCTCCTGAAACCTCCTGGGGCTTCCTGGGGCCTCCTGCGGCCTCCTGGAGCCTCTTGGGGCCTCCTGAAGCCTCCTGGGGTCTCCCGGGGCATCCTGAGGCCGCCTGGGGCCTCCTGGGGCCTCCTGGGGCCTCAGAACTACATGCACACACAGAGACACAAATCACGCCCAACACATCACACGCTAGACAAACATAACACGCACAACACCTACAACGCACAAACAATACGCACAACACAGAGCACACATCACACACACACACAAAAACACACACACACACACAAACACACACAAACACACACAAACACACAAACACACACAGCACTCGCAATCCTGGGGCCTCCTGGAGCCTCTTCTGGTATCCAAGTCGGGCCTCCTGAGGCTTCCTGGTGGGCCCTGGTACACACATCGCAAGGTGTGGCAACCCTACTTGCGGTCGAGTGCGACTTCGCTGTTGCATTTCCTTCCTGCTTCGAACGCCCCTTCAGTTTTTGTATGAGCCTGGGAACACACGTGCCACTTGTATATATTTTATACATATAAGTATGTACATATTATCATATTCCTGTTCTTACCAAAGCATCCTGTGGTGCTGGGTCCTCGTTTTGAAGAGACGGTCCCTGCGTTCTGCTCCCGCCTCCTTCCTCCCCTTCCCCCTCCTCCCCCCTCCCTGCCTCTCATCCACCCAGTAGAGCATTTCGTGGCCCATAGGGAGCTCTACCGAAGGCCCCAGTGCCACCGCCCGCATGCGTCACGCACCCATTTCGGCACAGCTCTCTCACGTTTCGTGGCCCCGTAGGGATCTCCACCGGAGGCCCCAGTGCCACCGCCCGCACGCGCCACGCACACCCAATTCGGCACAACCCTCACACGTTTCGTGGTCCCATAGGGATCTCCACCGAAGGCCCCAGCGCCACCGCCCGCATACGTCACGCACAACTCATTTCGGCACACCCCTCACACGATTCGGGGTCTCTTAGGGAGCTCCACCGAAGGTCCCAGTGCCACCGCTCGCATGCGTCACGCACACCCATTTCGGCACACCTCTCACACGTTTCGTGGCCCCAGAGGGAGCTCCACCGAAGGCCCCAGCGCCACCGCCCGCATGCGCCACACGCACCCATTTGGGCATACACCTCCTCTGTCGTGGCCCCACAGGGAGCTCCACAGACGGCCCCAGTGCCACCGCCCGCATGCGCCACGCACACCCAATTCGGCACAACCCTCACACGTTTCGCGGCACCATAGCGAGCTCCACCGATGGCCCCAATGGCTGCGTTCGCAAGTGCCCACCGCACCTATTTCGGCACACCTCTCACGCGTTTCGTGGCTTCATTGGGAGTTCCACCGGCAGCCCCAGCGGCTGCTTTCGCATGCGCCCGCCAGACAAATGTTGGCACACCCCTCACACGTGTCGTGGCCCTATAGGGGGCTCCTCCGAATGCGGTGCATACAGCGACGGTGGTTGGGCCTTTCGCTTGGCCATTTGTTTTGTTGTCATTCCCCTATCTCTCTCTCCCTCACCCCCGCATTCTTTATCACCCCCTGTCTCTTTTTACAAGTGTTAGTTTTCTCGCCATGCACACTCCTCCCTGCGGCACCCCCAGACTTATCGGTAAGGCTATGGGGGGCGTTCCTCAACACTTGTCATCATCCCGAATGTAGGACTATGCGACAGTTACACGAATGGGGGGCGGGTCCTTTCCGAATTGGGGCTGTCGTTCTCGCACCGCGCACATTTGTTGCACAAGTTTGCAGGAGCTACACGGATGGAGCGGGGATCAGTTTCAAAATGAAGGTCTTGTGTTCGTGCCGCGCGCTTTCGTTGCAAACGCTTGTAACATTTATAGGGGTGGGGGCGGCTTCCTTTCATTGTGGGGCTCTCGCCTGAGCGCCATGCACATTCGTCCGTACAGTTTTGAACACCTACAGGGTTGGAGGGCGTTCGGGTTTCAAGTTGTGGCTCTTGCTTGAGGCATGCTCGAATCCAACAGCCCGAAGCAAGACTACAGGTACAACGTGCACGACTAAAGTGCGGCTGGGTTTCAGCGTGGGGCGCTCGCTTCAACACTTTTCTTTTCTGGCGACAGTGCGAATATCCTTGCGCAGTACGTACACTTGGACTTTTTTTCAACATTTCTGGTCCTACATGATTGACTTCCGTATCTTCTGCTCGAAGTTTGCGCGACAGTCATTTTTCAAAGCGGGCTTTGCGCATGCATTATTGCCCCATAGGGTTCTCGTCTTCCAAGGGGGCGTTTCTCGGAGGCCTGTATGGACTTGTATGGATGGAACTCTGGATCGGAGGGTGTGCTGTAGTATTGCAAACGTATCCTGGGTTTACTCTGGTCTCCCTCTCCCTCCTCCTTTCTCCCTCCTCCCTCCTGCTCCTCCTCGCTCCTCCTTCGTCCTCCACCACCTCGCGAGCGGCGAGATCATGCCCCTCCTCGGTGGCTACGCAGATCCCTCACCTGATGGTGCACCCCCCCCCCACGGGCGTGCGTGATGCCCTTCCACCTCGGACTGACCCCAGGTGCCGTCCTGTCCTATCCTATCTTCCTCCTCCTCCGCTCCCCCTCCCCCTCCTCGCCCTCCCTCCTCCTCCTCCTTCTCCCTCCCCTCCTCCTCCTCCTCCTCCTCAATTACACAATCTGAGTACCACTCTCCTCTTTACCCTGATGACGTCCGGGAAATGGCCGCCCCCTCCGCGTACTGTTTTTTACACGGGGTTCCTGGAACGCGAGTTTCTGATCGTTTTTTTTCAAAATGCTGTTTCCGCTGAGGCGCTGGCCCGAATCGTGCTCCCACTGCAGTGCTGGCCTCATTTCCGCGCTTCCGCTCGTTCCGAATCGTGCTCCCGCTGCAGCGTTGGCGTCATTATTTCCAGCGCCATGCCACGGCATGGTTTTCGGTCCTTCCACATAGGTTCCAACTTCTAGAGTATGGCTTGTCGAACCAAACATCGGACTGATTCCACATTCGATGCCGATTCGTGGATTGTTTGGGGTCGCAGAAGCCCCCCCCCACTTGGGGGCGTCGCCACGCCATGCTATGTCAGGCTCCGCGTCCTCCGAATCGTGCTCCCGCTGCAGCGCTGGCCTCATTGCCGCGCTTTCGTTCTTTCCGAGTCGTGCTCCCGCTGCAGCGCTGGCCTCATCATTTCCATTGCAGTGCCACGGCATGGTTTCGGTCCTTCCAAATAGGCCCCAAAATCTAGAACATGCTTTCACGAAAAAAACATCGGAAGTGATTCCACATTCGGTGTCGATTCGTGGATTGTTTGGGCCGCAGGAGCCCCCCCCTATTTTGGGGCGTCGCCACGCCATGCCATGTCATGCTACGCGCTGATCTTCATCACCATGCGATGCCATGTAATGTCATGCCATGCGAATAGAGAAGATATATACGCCATGGTGAGGGATGGGAGGGAGGGGTAGAACGTCAGATATGACACGAGCCCACCTAGCTTGTCCTCCCCCCTCTCCCTCCTCCTCCTTCTCGTCCTCCTCCTCCTCTTCCGCCTCCTCCCTTCTCTTCTCCTCCTCCTCCATGCTGCTGCTGCTCCTCCTCCTCCACCTCCTCCTCCTGCTCCTCCTCCTCCTCCTCCTCCTCCTCTGCCTCCCCCCCCCCCTCCCCTCCTCCGCTTCCTCCTCTTCCTCCTCCTCCCCCTTCCCTTTTCCCTGTTCCTCTTTCTCCTCTTTCTCCTCTTCCTCTTCCTCCTCCTCCTCCTCCTCCTCTTCCTCCTCTACCTTCCTTTTCTTCCTCCTCCTCTTCCTCTTCCTCCTCTGACTTCTCTTCCTCCTCTTCCTCGTCCTCCTCTTCCTCCTCGTCCGTCTCCTCTCCCTCATCCTCTTCTTCCTTCTCCTCATCCTCCTCCCCTCCCTCCCCTCCCTCCCCTCCTCCGCTTCCTCACCTTCCTCCTCCTCCTCCTCTTCCGCCTTCTCCTCCTCCTCTTTCCCCACCTCCTTCTCCTCTTCCTCCTTCTCCTCCTCCTTCGCCCCCTTCCTCCCCTCCCTCCCCTCCTCCTCCTCTTTCTCCTCTGCCTTCCTTCTTCTCCTCGTCCTCCTCTTCCTCCTCTTCCTCCCCTCCTCTCTCTCCTATTCCTTCTCCTCCTCCGCCTCCTCGTTCTCCGCTTCCTCCCGTCCCTCCTACTCCTCCTCTTCTCCTCCTCCTCCGCCTCCCCTCCTCCTCCTCCTCCTCCTCCCCTCCTCCCCCTCCTCCCCCTCCTCCTCCCCTTCCTCCCCTCCCTCCCCTCCTCCGCTTCCTCCTCTTCCTCTTCCTCCTCTTTCTCCTCCTCATCATCCCTTCCCTCCTCCTCTTTCGGCTCTTCCTCCCCTCCTCCTCCTCCTCCTCTTTCTCCTTTTCCTCCTTCCTCCTCCTCCTCCTCCTCTTTCTCCTCTTCTTCCCCTCCCTCCCCTCCTCTTCCTCCTCTTGCTTCCTTCTCCTCCTCCTCCTCCTCCTTCTTCTCTCCCTCGTCCTCCTCTTCCTCCTATGCCTTCTCTTCCTCCTCCTCCTCCTCCTCCTCCTCCTCCTCCTCCTCCTTCTCGTCCTCCTCGTCCTCCTCCTCCGCCTCCTCCTCCCCCCCTTCTCATCCACCTCCCTCCCAGGCAGGGCCGGAGCGCGGCCGCTCGCGCAGCCCCCGCCCCCTCGTAGCCGTCCGGCTCGACCCGCCGGGGCAGACCGCGCCCAGCGCTCCGAGCGCTCCCTGGAGCCCTCCAGGGGTCCGAGGCGGCGCCCCGCGCCACTGGGGTGGCCCCAGCCTGCCCGTCTTGCCAAGGGTGGGCCACACTTCGGCCTCCCCCCTCGCCGAGATTCGAGTAGGAGAGCGACTGCACAAATGGGTTGACCCCCAACAGCGATGTCTTCGTCGAGTCTATGACAGACGCATCGATGTTCTCGTAGGTCTACGTCTCTGTGTGCTTGTAGGTTCGGCGAAAAAAACATCTTGAGGTAAATCAATTCTGTAGTCGATCTCCTACTCGACAGATGGGGTCCGAGCAGATGGGTTCGGAGGGTCGCTCTGCATCGCCGATGCATCGGCGATGCGGCTCGATGTGGAGTCCTCCACAGGCCCGAGGCTGGGCCCCCGCGGCTGGGACGGCCGTTCTCTTCTTTCCAAGGGTCGGCCGTACGTGGGGCTTCGGGTTGCGCACAGACAGCCCCCCCCAGGTAGTCCCAGATGGCCTCAACTTGCCCCCCGAGTAGTCACAGCTGGCCTCAACAGGCCCCCCGAGTAGTCCGCGGCGGTCTCAACACCGCAACCCTGGGGCGCGGAGCGCCCGAGGGGCACCGCTGAAGGCGGCGCCAGGGTGTCGAGACCGCCCTGGACTCATTGGGTGGTCCGTTGAGGCCAGCTGTGACTACCTGGGGGGGGGCTGTCTGTGCGCAACCCGAAACCGTACTAGTCGGCCATGCGTAAGAATGACCCCTCGCCGGAGTGACCGTTGGTGCGGGCACACTGGGGCCTCAAACGAACCAACGTGACGCGGATGCGATGTCGGCGGCCTGTGCGCTCTGGTTTGGCCTCCCCGCGGCCCCGCAATTCGCGCTCCAAAGGTCACTTTTGCCTAGGACCTAGGAGGGTGTTTTTGTACCTCTCCCCAGAGCGTCCTCGACACTGCTGCAGCAATGAGTCCGGCACCACAGTCTGTGGTGCCAGACCCGCACGGCGGGGGGGGGGCGTTACGTTCTGCCCCCCCTTCGCCTCCCCCATAACGCCCGTTAGCGTCGCGAATCCAACCATGATCACTCTTGCGTATAGCCGAGAGGATCTCAGGGGGAACGCCTGAGGAGGTGTTCGGAAGTCTTCGAAGGTGGTTTTCATACGTTTGCCCAACGTTTCCGAGGCCTGGGGTGGTCTCCATCAGCTGCGCCTCGTCCAGAGCGGTCCGGGGCTGCCAGAATTGTCCCCAGCGGCCGCCGGAGAGCTGAGTGATGACACAAAAGCCACGCGGCAATAGTAGGGGAGATGCATCGATCCCCAACCGCACATCGCTCGCCGACGGGGGCCCGATAGCCCACCCTGCACGGAGCGTACGGATACGCTGCCGGGCGTATCGCCGATTTTCGCTCGAAGTTTCTTCCCTGAGCCAGCACCCGTCTATACTTGCCCCTCCGAGGACGAGGACGAAACCGACAGCGGTTCTCGCTGTTGAGCTGCGAGGTTCGAGGTCGAGGTTCGGGCCTTGCTGGCGCCCCGGGCGCCCCTCCTCGCCAAGGGCTGGGCGACGCTCAGGATCGGAGGTGGGCCCTTCGGGCCAGCGGCGGCCCTCCCTGGCCTTCTCTGTGCTTCTCTGGGCTTTCTGAGGTTTCTCGTCGCCACGGCCAGGTCCGCCAAGAAAGTCGTGTCAGGGCAGAACCCTGGGAGTGGTCCAGGGACAGATTGCGAAGGTCTTACGGCCGGTGCCGCCGATCCTGAAGGGGGACGGCCACGACGAAAAGCGGGTCAGGATGGACCTCCCGGAGGAGTCCAAGGAAAGATGTCTAGCATTGCCAAGGCCTTAATTACGGCTGGTGCCGCCGAACCTAAATTGGAGACGACGACGACGACGACGACGACGACGATGACAGCGGCGGCGGCGACGCCGTTTACGACGACGCTGACGTGGGCTAGAGTTTTTAAAGATGTCTCTTGGTGTCTCTTCGGAGCGCTCTCGAGGGTCTTAGGGGTGCAGTTTTGGAGTCTCCTGTGAGTCACTTCGGTTTTTGTTCGGGAGCCTCTTGGGGGCCTCTTGGAACTTCCTGGGGGTTTTCTTGGGGGCCTCTTGGCCCGTTGTCGTACGATCTTGGGGGTTTCTCGGGCCGACTTGGAGCGTCGGGAAGCCGAACAGGCGAAAACGTCGAAATCTGCGAAAACAAACGGAACATTAATGAAGTTTGTCTCGTGGAGGGGCCCAAGGGAAAGGGTTAAACCGATTTTTGATTGTTATAAAGTGCCAGACAAGTCCTGGGAAAGTTCTGGGACAGTTCTGAGTTGCTGCTTTTCAATATACTCAATGTTTGTCCCCACTCAGTGCTTGTACTGAAGGGGTCCTAGTGGATCTTGAAGGATTTGGCGAAAGTTGGCGACCGATTTCGGTAGGCCACCGGTTTCACAGGTTTCCGGTCCCGGATCCCGGGTTCTTGGTTGTTGGTTCCAGGCGGCGGAGTTCCTGGATTTCTGGATTCTTGGGTCCCTGGTCGATTTCTTTATCGATCGGTTTCACCATCGACCTCATGTCGCACCTCCATATCGATCTCATTATCGATCTCACAATCGATTTCACAATCGATCTCACAATCGATTTTACTAAAGGTCGCACCAGCGATCTCACGATCAATCTCAATATCGATCTCACTGAATCGACATCACTATCGGTCCCGCGACCGACCACATACTATCGTCCTCACGAACGATCCCACTATCGATCTCACAGTCGATTGCAGTATCCAAAGCATGAATGTTGAAGCCATCTTCTGAATTGAATTTTCTCTGGTGTAATTTTTCTACCAGATGTGTACGATAGCGTACACATATATATATACACACACATATATATAAATATATATATACGCTTGAGAGTTGGCGAGAGTGTCTGACCGATTACTGTGGGCGGCCTGGTTCCCTGGTTCCCGATGTTTTGGAGTTCCTGGGTTCTTGGTTGCTTGTTTCGGGCTGATTTCGGTGGGAGGCGGGGTTCCCGGTTTGCTGGTTCTTGGTCGATTCCGTAAGGATTGGGCCCGCCATCGATCTCATTATTTGCCTTTCTATCGATCGCACTACCGATCCCACAGTTGATCTCATTACCGATGCCACATTCGATCTCTCTATAGATCGCCCGAGCGATCTCACCATCGATCTAATTATCGGGTTCACTGAATCGATTCAGTGAATCGGTCTCAGTGAATCAGTCCCCATGAATCACTCGATATCTCTACAGACTACAGACCGATCTCAGTGAATCGACTTCACTATCAGACTTCCAGATCGACCATACGATCGGCCTTATTATCGATCCCACTGTCGGTCTCACCATCCACTTGTCATCGCTCGGACGCGTGTGTGTGTGTGTGTGTGTGTGTGTGTTTTCTTAGCGAGGACCATCGAGGAACATCCTCGACCACCGGGTCGAACCAAAAACACGTACGACATCGACAAATGCATGGACGGCCTGGCGACGGCGAGTCCATGTCACTATCGAACGCACTATCGTCCCCAGTATCGATCTCACGATCGATCCAGCCATTGCTCCAACTATCGACCCCGCAATTGACTTCATAATACACATATCATTGAATTTCAAGGCATCAGCTGGTCGGGCTTGTATTGTGTATGTAATACACAAGAAGCTGAATTCTTGTTTAACTCCGGATTATTATTACTTTTCCAGAACATATGGTGTAACCATCACGGGCTCATATATATATATATATATATATTCGAAGGGGGATCCATTCAGTTGTTTGTTCTGTCACGTCAATTTTCTATGATCTTCGTTCACATAACCATAAAAGTCCAGGTATGCACACAGTCACGTTTTAATTAAAGCGTGTGATTGTTTTTTTCCGCGCTATCCTTTGGCACCGGGTCTTTGTGTTGAGCAGACAACGCCCCGCGGCCCCCTATGTTGCTCCTCCTCCGCCTCCTCCCCCGCCCCCCCTGCACCGACGGGAACTACACAACAACACACCCGCTGTTGCAGCAAAACTAGTCAACAACCAGTGTCCGTGGTGTAAGAGTACGTTTGTAGACCAACGATCAACCATGCCACGATGTCGGCCCACAAGCACGGGATATGCCAACAGGACACGTCCAAACGGGCCCACCCAAGGAAAGACCCCAGGACATTAACATGTAGAATATGTACCCGTTGGGCTCAAACACTGGACGAGTACCAGGCGCACATACGAGAACACCTCGCTGGCCAAGACCAGATCAGAGCGGGAAAGGCGGAGCTGCACACAGCGTCAATCGCCAAAGCCGAGACGATGGAGTGGCGAGTCAAGCGCCCACCGCCGCCAGGACCAGAGGATTTACGACCACAGAAGCAGGCCAACATCTGCGAGGACAGCGGCAGCCATGCGACCCCACCAGGAGCCCGAGGAGGAGGACGAGGTCGCGGACCCCTAGGAGGGGGTGGAGGCTAAGGTGGGAGAGGAGGGGGCGCAAGCAGACCTACGAGACATCATGCATGCATTACAGCTGCTGGCCCTGCAGAACTCACCAGAGATTCGCAACTTCCCCCACCTCACCAGCGAGTTTTGTCTGGCCCCCCCAGCGGAAGAGTGGATCCAGTCCCCCATGGAGACAGGCCGCGAGTACGGCAGGAAGGTGAAGGCCAAGGGCAAGGGCCACGGGCACGGACCTCCTCGCGGCCACGGCGCAGCGGCTTTCGCGGAAGGCATAGTGGAGGCGGTCAGGACCATGGTGCAGGACGACGACCAGCCGACGCAGCACGCGGTGAACACCCTCACGGAGTCCACGAAGCAGCTGGACCAACCATGGGGGCTGACGTTCGTGACGGAGGCGCCCGTGCCGTCGGAGGAGGAGATGGAGATGGAGCAGCGCAGGGTCAAGGTCACGCGCGCAATCGATACGTCGCCGCCGTTCAGGGCGGCACTATGCGAGCAGAACCTGGGCCGGGCCCGGTGCGAGAGGGTCCTAGGCTTCAGAGGGGGCGTGTTCAAGCAGGCTTCGGGGCTGGCGTTCGTGCTCCTGGTCGCCGAGAAGAGCCGCTCAGGAGGCCCGA